TCCCTTAAAAAAAAAAGGTTTCGCTAATTACGTATGTTAAGTTTAAAAAATTGATAATCAATTAACGAGGTCTCCCCAAATTATGAAACCCTCTCACTAAAATTCCCCAAATTATTTCCAAATTATTTGATAGGTTAATTAATGATTCACATTAATTAGTGCGCCAAGTATACGGCGATGAAATCAACTCCTCCGGCTTGAGGCCACATTTCCCGAGTTGCACACGCCAACAGTGACAAACAATTATAAATGGAATAGTCGAATTAATCTATTAGCTTGATTTTGTAATGGATAAGATAGCCTATTCTTAGAATTTCCCATTAATAGCCTGGTGCAAACTTTCTTCAATATAATTGGAGAAAATGTTTATATCACAACATGGTGGTAGGCAAGATGGCTCCCTTGCATTTTTCTCTGTATTCGAAATGGTATACAGCCGACAAAGATTCCCACTGACCGGGTAAATTTTTTCGTCGGTGAGGAAGAATTATGAAAATATTACCAACGATAACTGCCGGTAAAAACGATCTCTGGGGTAGAGTTAGGGAAACTGTATTCGATAAGGTAGGTCACGTGAAGGAAATAATAATGGTTGATTCAATATAAAATGTTTCAAAATTCGAAAGTGGAAAACAATGATAAACATTGATGAGTACCACATCACCTTATCATCAATATCGATGACAGCCCCACGGAGCCGATCACAGCCATGACGAGCACCTTCCATAAATATTCTATTTACACCAAAACTATCTAATCAATCAAATTTGTTTATTCATTAAACATTACAAAAGTATGATACTGACAAAAATCATGAACCGATGCATAAAGTATTTATTTTTTCAATCGAGAAAAAGGAATAATTAATGTAAAATTAACTGATAAATATTGTATGATACACATTCATCTTTGAAGTTGTCAAATGAGTGTTGGAGAATTTCCCTATCGAATGTGGCTGTATCGAAATGTTTAAAGTAATAAAACTATTTTGTAGCAGCTATCCGGCACATTTCGGAGATTTACAGACATATATATAAAAAATTTTGCAGAAATGTTGTAGCTTGACGAGAAATAGAATATCCATTTATTGATCATCAGTTGTTTTATACATGCGTAAAACTCTCCCAAATTCTCAATTAATGATTAAGAATTGCACAAATGCATGAAGACAACGACAATTTTCCATTATTACTTCCTCGAAGGGCAAAACACTTTAATGAATATCTTTCAATTGATTCCAGAGACTTCAATAGTCCAATTCAATTTGTAATTGGCTTCTCCAGAGAGAGATGATTAGGTGACCTGAAACATTGTTGTTTTAATGAAACATAATGTTGTATAGTAAGCGAATGAATAGTAGGATATTCTTACAAGCATACGTTGAAATCCTCGACACTCTTGGAGACACCACCGACACTTCAAGAAAGCATTCATCTCTAAAGCTGTATGGACGTAGAGCAGCGTACAATTTTTACATGCAAACCAGTGCCTGCATGGTGATGCAACATATTCCACGATAGAATTATTGCATAAATCACAAATGCATCGATCTACTCTTCGCACTGTAACAACCAAAAAAAAATGAGAGAGGAATTTGTTAAACGAAGAGAAGAAGTATGCTGCCTCCTGCAATTTTTGGAGGATTTATGGATTTATTATGAATGTAAATCCGAAGACAATTTAATAAATGAATATGAGAAATAACTGAATCTCGATAATTTTTGATTGGATAAAAATCATCTGGCATATTTATACGGCATGTGACGTTTATAGGGGAGTTCAAAATTCCGTGAAAATTTTCCAATAATAGAAGTTTTTCTCTTTTCCTTACACAATAGGATCTCTAAGTTGTTATTCACAGGTGGAGCAGTTGCAAAAGAAATTTCGCCAATGGGTTGATCAGCTACCTGGGCTTGGAGTTCAGCTGCTGTGGGTGGAATGCCTTTAAAAAGGCACATTTTTCATAAAAACATAAAAAAAGAGAAACTTATCAGTTGAAATGAGTCAGACTAAGACAAATGCTAAATTTGGATACCACATAGAATACATAATGTACCATGAATTGAAGTGCTATACACACTTTTTTATATTTATTATTAACGTATGAATAACCTGGAATTAGATAAGATCAGGATTAAGAGTTGTTAGGTTTGGCTTTCACACCTCTTACAAGTACAGTGTAAGAACACTAACCGACGATATGCTCCTCTATTGTTGTGAAGTAATCGACCGCCTCCGCATTATCGATCAATACTTTATTATGGAAAGCACGAAGGAAATGATTGGCAGCCCCAAGGAACGCGGCAATATCTAGGACCCCTTCTCCATACAACTCCCAAGCTCTGGATAATATTTCCTCTTGTTTGATGTATTTTGTCGCTTTAGGTCGTCTGACAGGCCTACCAGCTGCCAATGCAGTCCTTTCAGTCCAACTTACAACTTGAAGTTTTCTCAGAGATTCTACAAACCGCGAAGAGAAATGGAAACAATTTCACTTTTTCCAAAATGAACTGTTTTTAAACAATTCTCCTATGATAATTCATACAGGGTTTTTTCTTACGTGTAAAACATCTTACATGAATCAGACTTCATGAACTTAACGAGATTTTACTTGAAATTTTGTTAAGATAGAGAGAAATTCAACAGTTCGTAAAATATAGGTTCAGTAACTGTGAAAGTGCACCTGTGAACTGCCAGATAGATGGATGAGAGCCGACCCTCTTGAGGAGTACACGATGATATGCCTCAATGGCATTGGAGACTCGAGTGCGCAACCTATACACAGTGAAGTTTTCTGGTCTCACTACCCCTAGCCACCATCGCTCAATGTAGCCAATGAGATCATTAAAGAATGATGTAATGTCTGGTGAAGCATTATTCTTGACTATGGTGAAGGCTGGGATCATATCTTCAGCTGGGAGCAACGGCAAAGCCATCAGTTTCCGGTAGAAATTTTGTCCTTGGTCCCAATCCTTCAATTCTGCCATCTCAGCTCGATTCTTCTGTCTGTCCAATCTCTTCCTCAAAGCTTTCGAATTAAAAAAATCAATTAGGGCAAATCGCAACCGAATATAAATTATTTTCTGGTGGAAATCCAGTTGACAGATTTTGTGATATGATGACATAGAATAAATAATATGTAAAATCGTCTCTTACTTGTAAGTAATGAAAATAACAGTGAACGATCCTTGCATTAGGATACACATGTTCAACTGTGTTTCGTAGAGCACGCTCAAAGTCTAAGTGAACTGTTGAAGGGTTGATATGTGGCGCCAGCACTGTTTTAAAATATTCTAGCACTCTCAAGCATGATCGAGAGTTTTTCTTCTCCATTAGTGCCCATGCTATGGGTAGGTCCTAGAATCATGCATAAAATAGGAATGAAAATTCAACAATATATTCTATTCTATTCTATTCAATATATTCTCCTTCCGCTGAGAAATTCTATTGAACTTCTAATGGAATTTTTGGTGGAAAAGTATAAGAAAAAAAAGCTAAAAAAATTACCAATCAATTTATAAATTTGGACGTTACACCGTTTGGTTATTAATCAATAATTATTTTTGAAGTGTACATTTTTAGTGAGAAGTATTGTTTTACCGTATCATTGAGGTTTCCCATAATTGTCAGAAATTGCCGATTAGTGGGTATCTTTGGACACACTTCGAAAGTTGCGTCGATGGTCAGGGTCCTGGGTGTGATTGTGCTTACATATTCCAAATCTGCGATCACAACAACATAACTCCCATCGCCAACTGGAAGGGCTTCTATACTGAATCTACTGAAGTGGTAGTTTCTCAGGTGATGCCACTGTGGATTATCATTCACCGTGTTGGCAAATTCTCTTAATGTCCTCGGGATTGGTGGACGATTCTTCATTCGCCAACGGTGCATTGACCTCTCAGCAGACACAAAAGTGCGTATTGCTGCAGTCTCAGGATCCCTATAGGAGCGCAATCAATTAATTAATCTGGCAGGTGTTTCGATTAGAAAATATGTGGAGGAGAAATTCCACGTTATCGGAGTACGTCAATTAAATATTTTAAATAACGAAAACATTTTTTTCCCGTTGGTTATTTGGAGGATTCCCGTTGGTTATGTTTTAAGCAGTTTTTGGTCATTTTTATATTTATTATTATTTTTGTTTTAAAATTGAAAAATCATTCAGCATTATAACTGGAAAAATCTGCATTGTACAGGTAGCAAAAGAAGACAATCCATCATTATTAATCTCTGGCTGTTAGGTTAGTAGGAGCATGTTGAAATAAATGAATAAATATTAGGTTACTCGATAGGAATTTTGGTATGAAAAAATTAGTGCTGTCATTTCTTTCAAAAATATGAGCATGCAGTAGAGTCGTGAAACTGTCCAGCAGAGTCGATGGGAAACTACTAGGATTTTCAAAAGGATTTTTATATTAAGGAACTTACTCCATTGCAACATCATCCCAGATTATTCTGAAGTCATTCAATGAGCTAGTCACTCTTTCATGGAGATGGTCATTGAATCTCTCCACATCTAAATAATGCTTGTTTGGTGCATGATTATGAGCACCTCCTCCAGTGATAATGAACTCCTCACCGTTCAGTAACTTGCCTCTCATGGGACAGAATTTTTCAATGCATTGGTAATATCTGCAAAATAATAGAAGCTGTTTTCCAATTTATCCAACAGGAAGGGGGAAAAAAGAAAGAAATTGAATGAAAATGTAAGTGATTTAAAATTGTCTTGTAATTATCGGAAAGTAATTGCGTTGATGTTCTGAATAGCATTGTTTTTAATCTCAGAGAAAGTTAGGGGTCTGCATGGGCCCGGAGGTTAATTTTTTTATAGAAATTTCTGTGAATTTGGAATTCTACAATAATTGGATTAAATATAAGTTTTTACTTACCTGATTGTTGTTCTCCACCTCGACTTGTAAGTAAACACATGACCCGTGGGAACATGGAGAATTTTCGAATATTTCATATTCTTTTTCCGCATAATTGGTGCCATCGTGAATAATTGTGGATCCACCTTCCGATTAATCCGCGAAACTCTAAAAATGTCTACCGGGGGGAAGACAGTACAGGGAAGAGTGGAAAGTAGGGAGGGATGAGAAGGAATAAGGAATGAGGACTGAGGAATGAGTTGGAACAAAGGATTTCTCACGAATTGGAAGTCATTGTCGCTTCGACGCTTAAACCGACGAGTTTGACCGATATATTCGTTATAACGTTCGATTCATTATACAATCACGGGGAGGAATGGACAGACGGCATCGAAGGGTACTCGTTTCTCTTCACCTGAATCGCCGGATCCACACTGAGGGGTTCCTCTTCAGCCGGGAAAGGACTAGAAATGGACGCACGTATGTAATTACATTTTTGAGAGCTCTGAGATTATAATTTCATGCGTAACTTAATGAGACCGCTTGACCAGAATGCGTCCATGTGCTTCTGTCAGAGAGAGATGGGAATTGTCCCTTGAAAGTGGCTTCGCTCGTGCTTTCCCGGCTACGTCATTTGTTTACTTTTCTGTTCACTAAACATTTCATGAGAAGAACGGGAAGTGATTTCCAAGAAGAGCTATCTTAAAGTATATGTAATTTTCATAATGGAATACTCAAATTGTATTTGTTTTCTTTTCCATAAGAATTTCTATACTTCATGTTTTCAACCATTTTTATACGGCTTTCTAGGATACAAAATGACGGAAAACAGGGCGTAACTTCACTTCAATTATATTATGCTACATTTTCAGCGCTAATTTCCCGTAAAAGTGCGCAACTACGCACGCCTAGGATGTAGTTAGATATTTAAGAACTAATCAATCGTTCAGCATCAATCGACTTCTCGATATCAAAACGAGTGAACAAGCTCTTGTTCTTTTAACCTAAAGGGATAAGCACTTGTCGTCAAATTTGAGAAATTCGGATTTTTATAGTATGGATTAACTTTCGATAGAATTCAGTAATCAGTTCCTCCGTAAGGTTGTTGTCGCGCAATATTCTCTGCAAAAAGTTTACGTACTGCAAAACGCCCCGGTCTAGAACCAAAGCTTTTGACGGTACATAGTCTCACTAGATTGATTGCACTACACGGAACGATTTATTTAGTTAATTTTACGATTTCTACATCGTAATTTTTCTTATTAAAAGCTTTCTTTGTGTGCATGAATAGCTAAAGCATAACAATTATTTTCCATATTAACTGTTTTCAATTATATAAATTTATGTATTTTCGATAATTACCTCGCGTGAACCAAATGCTCAATCCATTTGATTTTTTTTCTGTATTCCTTCCCATGATTTATATTCTATATTTTTTCTTTAACTGTCGAGCCGTTGATTCAAACATGATTGTAATCGATGAAACTCTATTTAAACACGTGTTAAATTCCTTGAATTAAAAAGTTGTGTATCTCAATTTCAAAAAGGTCTGCGAACGAAAACGCAAATGGAAAGTGCTCATTTTGTAACTAATTGTTTTTACTATTCACCATACGAATGTTAACGAACACTGTCGAAAAAATATTCTACACGACAACAACCTTAATATATATAGGAAAGAAAGGAAAGAATACATAAGATTTAATTTTTGTAGATATGTGCATTGCTCTCAACTACAGGCTGAGCAATGCCCGGCCCGAGGGATCTTTGACGAAAGGACACAGATGTTCACATACACCAGTAGGCCAAATCCTGGCTCTAATGAGCACCATAGCCATGCTCCAAATCTGCAACTCAGGGCTCAATCAGATTTCGCAGATGAGCTGCACAGGCGAATAACTCATTCATTCCTGAGAGTCAAGAGCATTTATGATGAAGTAGCAAGTCAAGAACGGTACTTCAGCTTCTATAGCCCATGAATCGAAATTTTTCAACGCGCAAAATGTTCTTGAGCATCGCCACATATAGCTAGGAAAATTTCATGAAAAACTCATTGTTGCAGTTTTTGAAACCAAAAAAAAAAGAACTGCTAAGACTCAATTTTAATCATCGAAAACTAAAAAAATTAACAACTTTTGTTCTGGCGCATGCAGGATTCCAAAAATTCAACTGAATCATTTTTGCATTAAAATCTATCGCTACACAAATTTTCATCAAAATCACATCGTTGCTCCGATATCGGGGAGTACTACGTTAAAGTCTTAGTCAGATTTTGGAAATACAATTCGAAAAAGTAGTTAAAGGTGGAAAATTCAATTGCAGAAGCTTGTAATTTTTGCCAGAGCTTTTAATCAAGAACTCTTTTCGTTGATGTATGTTATATATAGATACCAAATCCCAGCTGAGACGATCACGTGGAACATAATCTCTAGTACAGCCTATCGCTGGCGTCGAGAGATGGTCCTTCCCCGAATTGATGGGTACGGGAGGGTCAGGCGAGCATTAATATCTGATGAATAGGAAACTCTGAGTACCTTAGGGCGAAGAGTAATGTCTGCAGCAACTGTGCATAGCGGGGTAGTCGCAGAATCCACCGGTCTCGTCTTAATGGACTCGCATTTCTTAAGGACATGTCCCTTCACGGAAATTTATTTCGGCAGCTGCCCAGCATTAAGTCCAACATTGAGAGCAACTCAGAATGTGCTTATGGTCCTTGGAAAGGTCAACGAGAGAGTGAGTTTCTTTTTATTTACATACTGTAACGACTGCCCTACTTCACTTCAACTTCCGTATATCATCTTCACATTTTTTAAATTTTATACACTAAAAATTACCGAAATCATGGGGCTGGTTTCCTTCAGTTTAAAAACAAGCAATGAATCGAGTTCATCCCACAGAGGACATTAAATCATTAGATATTATACGGAGGTTTTCTATACCAACAGTCAACTGATGAGGTTGAATAACTGTCGCGCATTATTTCGCATTTTTTCGGCAGCCTAGTTCGATTACAGTGTTTTTTATATTTCTGGATAGAACTTTACATTTTTTTTACTCTAATCCAATAACACCGTATGGAACTTCTTGACGAAAATGGTGATTATTGTTATCAACAGGGAGTAATTCTTATATGTTTAGTTTTTTAAGCTTATATGTTTAGCATGCGCTAACTCAAGCTCTCCAATTCGTCATACTTGTTTCCTTTTGCGAGGCCCGAGCCAATCCCTACTTTCTATTCACCAGAATGGCCTCCCCAGGCTACGCCTCCTACCATTGGCCATGCATTTACTTTATCAATGAAACTCAATTCCATGACTGAGTAAAATGAATACAGTTTTAGAGGCTCTAAAGTATACATATCACTTACAATATAATGGTTATGTTTTTCAATTATGTTCATATATAGTTCTCCGATTAATCACTGCAGAGATAAAAGTAAAGTCAAACATGGCTTCTCAAATCTACATTTGTTAACGATAAATGAAAGAACACTCGGCGATAACTAATAGACCCCTACTTTCCACTAACTGAATTTGCTAAGAATAGCTAGCTCGACACTCTTAAAAAGGATGTCTATTGATGAGCCGAATGTTTACTGTTGAAATGTATGAATATAGAGAAGTTTGGTCCCAGCGAATTCCTTACCAGAAGTCAGAAAACAACTGGGACTAACTATCAATTTAATCAGTATGAATCTTATTGTAAATAAGTATTTTAATATATTTGCCATCAGTAAATTGAAAAACTTTACAAGTATGCTTCGTACTTTCAAGGAAGTATAATAAATCTGAAGATAAATATCCATAATTCTCACTGCGATTCTACACTTACTCCAAGTATTTTGCTGACTTTTTAACGCGCGCCTGACCAAAACTTGGGTCCAATATATACTTTCTACAGGGTACATTAGATAAAAAATCCAGTTTTAGTATATTGTAATAGGATATTATACTATCATACTATATATACAGTGCATGCGTGCAGAACAGTTTCTGAATTAAAAATTTTTCATAATGATTCCGTTGTGAATTACAATACTCGACCAAGTAACATTGTCCGTAAATAATAAAAAAAAGGAAAATAATCACGGCAAACAAATATATAATGCTCTTTACTAACCACTTTGCAATTTAGGCGGAAAATATTGTTATTCTAATATGTCTGATTTCTACTTAGACACGTATTTATCATATTTTCTCTGAAATTCTTCAGTATTTACCCTTCTCCATTTCATGCTTGACATCTAGTCCCCTTTATCTGCGCTATGCATTGCAGGCTTATCCAGTTACCAAGCAACAGCTTTTTTGTGGGATTCGTTATCGCTGCAGTACTTATCTATAATAATACTGTTTTAGATTTTTCTGGCTACTAACCTTGCCACGTACAACTGCTGTAGACTACTTTTAAGGCTGAAAATCACTACTGTAAGATGATTACCAATTTTTCTTTAGCAAACTTGACTGCACGGAGAGAAATATCCACGAGAAATTACTGGTCTCGTATTAGTAAATGTGGGATGTTCCACTGTACTGATGAAAAGTCATGTGAAATCCATAAAAAAATGACTGCAATTCCTCGGCATATTTACTGCACAGGGCAACCAAATTTACTGAAATGATCCTCAATTATCTCGGAAGTTCATGCAATGTTGTAAAATGTACTTCTGAAAAACTGAAATATTCGTCGGAACAGCGGATTTAATAATGGACAGTTCATGTTTTTTCGTATCGGTGATTCATTTTTCACAGCGCTTCCAGTAAATCTTACTAGATTGTTCATTACTTTATGTCATGACATAAAATAGTATCATAGCCACGGCGAAAAAAGTGATTCTGACTCATGCGCTGTATAATCCTCGCCTTCGGCTCGGACTATAAAGAGCCGCATTCGCTTTTTTCTGCCTAGGCGTGAAAAATACTATTTCCAGTGACGGAGCTGGGAAATTTTACTGGACTGATCACCGTAATATTTAGGGTTAAATCGCAATGCTGTACAGTCCGCGAATTTTTGAAGGGATAGTCTTACGAATTTTTAATGGAAATTTCTCTTCGTGTGTCATTGATTGACCGAAAACTGTAACTCAATTGATATCATTTACTCTCTCAAGGCTTATGCATTAGCATGGGGGTTGTTGAGTAGTGATGCGGAGCATCTCTATGAGCAAACCGTTCATAACATTCGAAGTGTTATTGGGGATAATCATCGGATCACAAAAATCCACGCAGAACTTCATGGGAGGAACGCAGTTCGTAATGAGTTTTTTCCTTCCCCTGTGGAGCTATCGTACGATGACATTATTAAAGTAAGTTCGAAATTGATGTACTGTACTTTAATATGTAGTGAATTCAGTGAGACGTCAGTATTCTATTTACTTTTTATTTCAAAAGATTTATAAGAAATCCAGTGAATCAAATTTTTGGCTATCAAAAGCTTGCAACGCTAGAGTGTCAACTGGATTTTGTTGACTGCAATGGAATGTTACAGTTTTTCATGATTTTTATATAGTAGTTGAAAATTTGGCTTTTTTGGGGTTTTTTAAAGCTTCGACATTTTTTTATTAAGGTTAGCAGGGTCACAACCGAAAAAGGACAGCTATTTTTTCCCCCACATTTAAAAGGTGTACAAAATCCACCATTATACGTCATGAAAGTTGCACAACCCGATAATCGAAGAAAAATTGAATATTAACGATTTCTAATTGATTAATTGGATGGATATAAGATCAGACAGTGCCGCTCATACTAACCCTAGCTATGAAGACCTCAAAACTAATCTTGAAATACTTGTTCCTAATTTTGCAAAAGCTCGAATAATCGTGGGAACAATCATAAAAACTGTCTGATTAATAGATCAATCATGGAATAGGATTGTCCCCATTTCAACCTGTCGAAAAATCTGAAAATCGAGGAAATCCTTCAGGAAACCTTTATTGAGATTGCAAAACCTTGAACAATCAATTGGGAAAAATAATTGAGACTATCTGGTTAGTTAATTAATCAATCGAAAAGACAAGCAAGATACTACCACCCATTCTAACCATTAGAAAATTCGGAAAATCGACGGAATTGTGGTATAACATTGCATTTTTACTAAAAATTGAACCAATCCTATATGTGTTTTATTCGGCAGGGCAAACTTTACAAATCTCTGATGTCATAAAATTTACCGTCGACAATCATGATGAAGGCAGATGACCGTAGGGTGCGATAAACTTGAGTTATTACGACATAAACCACTGACAAAAAACACCAAACCGACCGTCATTTATTAAATTACATTTTTGGAATCCCAGATAATCTATTAATTTTACACTTCAGCGTCGAGTAATTAGCCGGTTACTGCATACTGAAATGTCAAATAACATCCGCTGTTCTGACGTAAATTTTGTTTTACGCGTGGATAATAATAAAACTACACGGAGAGAACTTATTAGTAAAAATTACCGTTACGGCAGGATAAAAGTGTACCATGACTCACTTTTGAGGATTTTTCATTTTGACGCTTAGCAAAAATTATATTGCTGAGGACAAATGTAATACAGAAGTATTCCTTAAAATTTATCCTATCAAAGGATAGTTATTGAAATCCACGAAATTAGTACAGAATTATCCTTCCATCAGGATCATTTTTATGTACTTCGAGAATAAATTTTATTTAAAATTTCTCTCCGTATAACCCCCTTGAAGCGTAATGTACTATATACTACATTATCGCGTACAAAAATATGATGTTTTAACAATCATCATATAAAAAATAATCGATTTTTTCGCGGTAATTATCCTTATTGAAAATGTCGTTACCCACCGTAGTCGCGTGATACTTTCAGTCCTCAATGCCTCCCTCTTTTATATATAAATAACACATATATGATTTTAAAGCTCACGAAATCTGCTTTCAAATGGTTCAATTGTCATCCATTTATCTCGAAGCCAACCGAAGTTACGACTATTTGAAAATCAGCAAATATGAAATCGGTATGTCATGACTACCTTTTAAAGGTTTTCGGTTCGGCACAATTTTCAGCACCCGTGTAAGCAATAAATGATACATTTCCGATATCATTTGAAAGCTTATTCTCTGGACTTTCGACTGATACTATTTTCTATTATTAATATTGATTCGATCTTTACTTATGAACGTTTAAGCATATGATCATATAAAATGTCTACCTTCCATTTTTTCCACATATGACATATTTTTCAGCTTTCGAGTGATACTTCTTTTATTTCATCGTTACGCCCTTTCTGTTCAGAGTTATGGATCAATAAACGCTATAACGACGTGTCACACTTGTTTTGTGAGTTAACGATTGTGTGAAAATTATCACCATTTGACAGATGAGACAAATCAAATATTCTATATAATTCCAACCTCACTTTTTGAACTTTCCAATAATACTATCTTCATTTGCCTATTTCCATTCTGTAGTGGACTATGAACGATTATATATGACATGATCACAGATAATAAAAATCGTTCTCAAAAGCGCGCGCGTCCCGCGTTACCAAAAGGATCCTAAAAGTAAGGCCCAAGTAGTTGAGTTTAGAGTTCGTCTCTCTTGAGCATCCGTAGAGCAACGTACCTCTTGACTAAATTAGAATGAGAAATACTTCCTTGAGAATAAAATTACAAAGTGAAAATTGCAAATGAAAGTGTGAATTGTTTCCAATCCCGGAATCCAATAAGAAACGACTCAATTTTTTAAAACTCATAACATTTGGCGTATTTGAAAAATTGTTCCGCAGACCATTGTAAAATCAGCGCGGGACATTCGTGACATTGACTTCTCCAATCAGGCTCACGTAGCAATGTTGCTCAACTTAGGAGTCGTAATGATGAGCCCGAACAATCGCAAGTCAGAAGGACTTCAGTTCTTATGGAGCATAATGCCCCATGAGTATCGGATTTTGTTCGGGTCCTTAATCAGGAGACTCAAGTTCTGGATCCAAAACGATGCAGATCCGCTACAGCTCAATTTGTATCGTAAACCCGACGCATTTTTCAAAGCCATGATTCTCCATGAAAGAAAAATGAGCAGACTTTTAACAAGACTGCACCATGGTTCATTCTGGAACTTTTTTGGTAAGTATACAGTTGGAAAGACCTCACAAAAAATTTATCATATTTTCTGGAAGATGCAGAACATTTATTAATTTTACGGCAATATCGAAAAACTTCTGAAAATCTCTAAAAAATTAAAATAAACTGTCGAGATTCTGCAGCAGCTAATTCATACTAGTATTTCGTCATTAAAATCATCAGTTAGGTGGACATTAATATTAGAGTCAACTTAAAATCGTCCGTTCTAACGTCTGTGGGCATTACTCGTAGATCTCAATAAGTTTCCAGCATATATGATAATTGCTTTTGCCGATTGCAGGGGCTGTTTCTGGAATGTTTTCCACTCTAGATATCTGGTTTGCATTGTTTAATTTTTTTTTCCCTTAAAGCTCGCGCTACTTTTGGACGTAATATGTAATTTCGCCTTAAAACCGAGTTAAACTGTTCCTCTGCTTCGCTACTGATATATTATATTAAATACCATTAAATGATTCTATTCAGCCGTTGTTCAAAAAATCATTGAAGACCAATGGAATGCTCTTGAGCGCATAAGAAATGGTGAAAATGTTAGCATCACCATTCTTCCACGAGTTACTTCATGCCTCGTTTCTTCGGCCTTAAATCGGTTCTGGCGACTATTCGCCGAAGACAATGTCGAGTGGTCAGTCATTTTTATGACTGGCCGAAGTATCCAGTTCCACCACATGGAGAGCCTCCTCCACAACAGGGCATACATGAATGCCAAAGTAATGTTGCCTGTAGGGGAACTCGCTGTCAACCGTGGACAGTTCCATGATCGCCCTGACGCAGCCACGCTCTTGAGTATAGCGGGAATACTGCCACAGCCTGTTGTGCCAGGTGAAAATTTCCAAGCACAAGAGGATGAGGAGTATTTAGGTAACGGACATATTTAATATATAACGTGATTCGTTGCAACATGCAACTGTTCTCCGAGGGCCTCCAGCCAGCCAGTTACATGAGATTGTTAATAATATAACTTTTTGTGCTTGATATACGTCCATATAAATATGTATTTTTCCTATACTTCTAATGGCTGTGTTTTTAAAGGTGTTTTGATCGATTACATGTAGTGTGGAGATGTTGGAATCCGAACGTATTTGGGTTTCGACGACAAGGTTGCAGTTTATGTCATTATTTTCGCTGAAGTTGTAAATAAATGGCTTCTTTTGGTCGAAACTATTGATGTTGGCGTATAGAATGTTAATGCTCTCATCAATTTCTGTAGATCCAGAATACCTCGAGGAGGATGCCGAGGTAGAAATGGTCCAACTAGGAGACAGGGGGGTAGAAAGAGACGAGGTTCCACAACCACCACAGAATGAAGAAGTACCGGAGGATGAAATCCCTGCTCAAAACGTCATTGGTAAGGGAGATTAAATGTCCGATACCGTTTCACATTTGTCTTCTTCAACTTTATTTTAACAATCGTTTTATAATACATGTAATTAATTGAAGGTAATTAATGTATTGTGACCTTGGCCGGAAATATAAACTAAAATACATCCTACCGAGGCACGAAGATTCGGGATTTACTTATAACGTCAAAATGAAGCGGAATTTCCTGTTTTTTTAAATTAAAGGGAGGACCTGAAACAAGAAGAGGGAGGGGCTTTTGATTGATTACTCAGGGGATCTCTGTAGGTTGAGTTATGATGTATTCCAATCTGTTTACAAAAACATTAACACAAAACATAATACACGTCTTCTCTCAACCTGCAAAAAGGGAGAAGTTAGAGGGGACCGACTGGAAGAAGTAATGGTTAATAGGGGGTTTGATCTACAAGAAAAGTGATGAGTTTAATGGAGGCTCATCGTTGGGGAGAATTAATAGTAAAATGGGGGATAGGGAAAACTCGTTGGGGCAGGGAATGAAAATGGAGCACTCACGGGTGATGACGGTTGATCAAACCTCGGGGTTCGCTCCTCCAATTTTCTCCACTTGATCTCGTCCTTCCTTTCTTGCTTCACTCCTGGGTAGTGGGCACAATTTCTCCTCCATACTCCTTCCCCTCACAATAGTTCTCCTCACAATAATTATTTAAAACGCTAAGGGGGCAGTGACTCGTGGGGCAGTGGCTTGGGGGGGCAGCTGTGGCACGAGTGATACCCATCAATCGTCCTCATTTCCTCGTTCCTTGTTCGTCCCATTTAGGCGGTCATCGGGTGGTCAGGAGTCTTTTTCGGGGTACTTGGTGGTTTCTTCGGGGAGTCCAGGGGGTTCGAGAGTACTGTTGTAAATTCTCGGGGGAGGTGTCGAGGGAGGCGCTTCGTCATCCATTGTAGCGATGTCCGTAAGTTATTCAGGGGTGGTCCAACGGTGGCCAAAAATAAACCTAAACTTAGCCTAAAAAATAACAGGTATTAAGAACGAGGCAGGGGGGGGGGGCATTCTGCCTCGTCACAGTATGTACTCACTTCTTTGCGCTGAATATACGTCCTTAAAAATGTGTATTTTTCTTATAGTTTTAATCGTTGAGTTTTTGCATGTTATTCAGTGTGATGAAAATGAGACATAAGTAATAATGTTTTGGTTCATTACACGCGTTATAAAGATGTTGGAATCCGAACGTATTTCGGTTTCGACGACTAGGTTACAGTTTATGTCATTATTTTCGATGAAGTAGTAAATGAGTGGTTTCATGTGGTTAAAGCTATTGGTGTTGGCGTATAGAATGTTAATGTTCTCATCAATTTCCGTAGATCTAGAATATCTCGAGGAGGATGCCGAGGGACAGATGGTCGAACTGGGCGACAGGGGGATGGAAAGAGACGAGGTTCCACAACCACCCCAAAATGAAGAATTTGCACAGAATGAAACTCCTGCTGAAAACGCCATTGGTAAAGGAGATGAAATATCCAATACCGTTTCACATTTGTCTCCTTGAAATTTATTTTAACAATCGTTTTATAATACATGTAATTAAATGTAGGTAATTAATGTATGTACTTTTCGATAAACCGTTGATCAACCTAAACTAACAAAAACTGTTCTCTGCCCTTTGTAGGAAAGTTCCGACGTGTTTTGGAATTTTTCCTCGATTTTTTATTACAGCGATGTGGAAAATGTGAACGTCTTGATGTTTTACTATTTTTTACTGACTTACGAAAATTCATCATTATGTAAACATTTTCAGATTTTTTTCTATCATATCCTGCAAATTTCCTGAGAAGTTTGCAAAAAACCCTGAAAAATTGTAGTATGACCGTGAAACTTCGTAAGTCATTAAAAAATGATAAAAGGCAATAACGTCACATCAACCCAACAAAAAGTTTTACACGAATTTCCAAAATCGTTCAAATTCCCTGAAAAGGCTAGAAATCATTCTTAATTTCATCGTTTTGAATTACATTTTGTAGGGGGCGGTGCAAATCGGAGAACACGCTCGAGGTGCATCAGGTGCAATGTCCACCGAGTGGAGTACATTGCAATTGAATGCATGTGCGTGATTTACTGTAGGCAATGCGCAAGAACTGTCCTTACTCAGGCTGGGCCTGTGAATGAACCTTGCCCCATGTGCACAGAGGAGATGGATGCAATTGAGAGGATATTCATCCCCACCAATGATGACGATGAATACGATTGGTTGTGCCATATATGTCTTACACGACCAATTGAATTGCTGGCGAGGCCATGCAACCACCTTACTACTTGCACTACCTGTGGGATTCAGTGGGCGGCACAAGCACAAAATGAAGATGTGCGTTGCTCCATGTGTAATAACCATTGTATATACCGTCGCGTGAACGTACGGGGCGATGACCCGCTCCACTTGGAGGAAGTTTAACTATATTGCATGCTCAGTTTTGGTGAAATTTGTGATGAGCAGAAAAAAAAAAATATTTTGTAAACAAAATAAATAAAAAAAATTGTTTGATCAAATTTTATTCTTTGACAGTTATATGTTACTTTAGTTATAAAACAAATCTAGAAATCACTGATGACAATTATCCCTGAAAAGTTTGTGGCAATTTCTTCAGTATGACTCAGCTTCGTAGCCATGGGGGAGAGCAAAAATTGAAAATTGAATCAAGTGAAATTTTTTGTTTCTATCTTAATTAGTTCGTTTTGAGAAATTCTCGAATCAAGTTTTTGAGGAATATCCCTAAACCAAAGGCAAATACCGAATTATTTTTAAAAAGGTAAAATTCGCAGAATGGAATGAGCGTTACAAAAATTTTGCGGTTTTGAATCCACCGATTATCCTTGAACGATCAATTGTAATTATTTAACTTTTCGGAATCGTTATACGTTTCTATTCCTTTGTTCCTGATACGCAGATGATTATAGGGTTTAAACTCAAGTCTTCTGAGCGTTTTCACCTTATCTTTCTCCGTCAAATAAGTATTGAATCTCCCAAGGAAAACTGTTTGAATAGCCACGAAGAGATAGAGATGTCTGCACATCTTCAGACCCTCTGAAACCGAAATAATTCCCATTGCCCAGAGAAATAATTTATATGTCTATTTCGTGGTTAATTTCGTGGAAGGTTTCGTGGTGGAATATATATATATACCGTATACAAGTACCGTATATATATACCGTATAAAAGTTAAAAAGTTGAAGTTAAAAAGTTAATTGGCAATGTACCATTTGAATTATCGAAACTACTAAACATCCTTAATTGTGGGCGCTCTTCGGTTTTTCAACAAATATGAATAAATGAATGAAGTGAATATACTACTAGAATGTTTAATAAGAATGTTTAATAGTTTCGATAATTCGAATAGTATATTGCCAATTTATAATTGGAGCTAATGTGATGTGTACATTTTTTAATTTTCATTTGCATTAAAATATCTAACTGTATATTTAACGGAAAAGTTCGATTAATGGATTTGAAAAGGAGAATTAAATCTTTCAATAAGATTCCGGCATGCTCCTGCACTCTATTAGACGTTACACTAGGCCACATCAGTAAGAAATAGACAACTGCACAAATTTGATTACCGACTTTCATACCAGGCGATGAATTACCAGTGTAGTGGATAACTGATCATGAAGGAGCTGTCGGTAACTTCCTTTAAATCTTCTTTACCGGGCCTCGAATAAATGGCAATAACCTGCCATTTCGGAAAAACAAAACGTCGGTTGTTTGGAACTTCGGTCCAGTGATACATCAGGGTAATACTTTCTGTTTTCAATACTTCAGTTGAAATTTGCCTATTCTGCCAGTAGAATTACGACAAAGTAACTCATTTTTATAATTATACATCCGAGGATAAAATAGTGTAGACTTGGACTTTCCAGTGCTTACACAACTTAAGGCCCGGATGGAGGGATTTTTTTCCCGAGTGGCGATTTTACGCCCCCCCACTTTGCGGTCAAAGCCAGAAGCTTGATCTGAAGCTCAGGCCTATCGGTAACAGCGGAAATCGCTAAAAACCAGGGCGACATGGAACAGTGGGGCTTGAGAGGGCCCCTAAAAAATTTTTCATCTGTTTTTTTTTCAAATGAAAATTTGATGGCATAATTCTGTGCGTTACTGGGGCTTTTTTTTCTAGAGAGTTTTAGCTCTGCGGGAGATAATTTTCCCACCCTCCCGTCCCCATTTCCAACGGTTCTATTTTTGTTGACAAATTAAAAAATTGTGAAACAAATGGAGGAAAAATCGTCTGCAAAATTAGATTTGAATGATTGAGAATTGTCTGAAAAGTCCCAATTTAGCGTTCCCTCGAAACCTTCTTTTTCCGACTGCTTCATTGTTGTTAACAAATATAAAAATTGTTAAAAAATTGAGGGAAAAATGGTGTTGTAAATTTAGACTATCGACTCAGAATATTGTAAAACGCCAAAATTTATTGGTACATCCAAAACTTTTGTTTTGAACTTCATTTTTGTTAACAAATTGTAAAAACATCGTCATGCAAATATATACTCAGACGGTAGACAATCGCCAGAAACGTCCAGATTTATTGGTCCCTCGGAATGTTTTTTATTCAAT